GGAGAATGACACAGAGGTTAAGCACTGGGGAGGATGAGTGAGTGAGAAGATGGTGGTGCCCTTGAGAGTAATAGGGAAGTTGGAAAGAGAGGAAGGTTTAAGGGGAAAGATTAGTATGTTTTGTTTTAAATATGCTGAGCTTCAAACGCTTATAGCATTTGAAATGCCTATAGTCTTCAGGCCACAGGTTCCCCACCCCTGGCCCTATATAGGGATCCAGTTTGAGATGTCCAAAAGACAACTGATGATGTAGGATTGCAACTGCTGAGGGAGGCTGAATATGTAGATCCAGGAATCATCTGCCAAGATAAGATAATTCAACCTACTGGAAGCTGATGGGATCGCCAAATGGCATTGTTAAGAGGGAAAAGGGCCCAAGATTGAGCCTTGAAGTACACACACAGTTAGTGGACATGACACAGAGAAGAAAAAGAACATGTGAAAGTGCCAAAGGTTAATAAAGGAAAGCAAAAGTAGACATTTCTTCCCGAGTTTTCCAAATGCTTGCCTCCATTCTCTGCTCTATTTTAGAGGTCTGTCCTAATGAAGATAGATGACTAAGAACCTTAGTCCTTTCTCAGAGATGAAGATACTGAAGGTCAGTTCCACTGGCCCCACCCCTATAGTCAGCCCCTTGTAGAACTATTCCAGAATGGTGGCTTCAGATAGCTATAAGTACCTTGGGATACCTTAAGTATCATATCCCAAAGGATGCTAGGAAAGGGGGTGGCGGTATGCTTGGGGTTTGACCAACAAATCCAACAGGCTTTCTGTGGGTATCAGCAATTCACAAAAGGGGTGAAAAACAACTTTTTTAGACATCTCAAAGAGTCAGACTTCATAACTTTTCCCAGACTGTTCCCTTCCCCCACTAAAAGCTATTTCAACTCTTAATATCATCAGGGAAACTCAGACTTATTCATAGTCACATGGCAAGGCTGTGGCTCAGCTGGGACTCAAAATGCTGAATTTCTGACTTCCCATTTCATGTTTTGGTTACAAAAATTCAAAGGAATCCACCACACACACACACACACAAAATACCTTATCATTTAATTTAACCTCTGCTCAGCCCATAGAATCTTAATTATGTCCATGTCCAGTGTTGACACCTCTCTCTCTCTCTCTCTCTCTCTCTCTCTCTTCCCCCTCCTCCCCACCCCCCCCACCCCGGCCCATATCATTTGTCCTTAACAGAGGAGGTGATTTATCTTCCTGCCCATGCTTATGGCCACTACTGCCACTGAGGCCACAGGCCTAGAGGCCACATGTCTTCTAGGTCTTCAAGTGAAGCCCTTTGACTAACTCCAAACTTCAATGAAGCTAGGCCTCAACAAAGGTTCCCCACCCCTGTGAGGTCTATACAAAGATAACTATACTGATTCAGGCCCTGTTGTCTACAAGGTTATAGTCTAAGTAAAGTACATAATAAAGACTCTAAAATACGTGTTTGTTAAGATTCAGGGGCAGGAAGGAAGAATGTAAAGACTTTATGGGAGAATATCAGAGAAAGAGGCACATAAGCATTTGACCTCTTGTTTTCTCTCTCTCTCTCCCCCCCTCCCCCTACCCTCCCAAACCCCACTCAGATGGGAGAAGTAGCTGTAGCCTGGAAGAAAGAAAAGGAAAGAAAACCCAGAGAAATCTACTCCAATATCTCATCAGCAATCTAAATTTCAGCTAACTGGGGGAAATCCTTATCATCATCTTTATCATCATCATCACCATCATTAGCATTTATATAAGGCTTTAAGGTTTGCAAACCACTTTACAAAGAATCTCATTTTATTCTCATAACCCTGGAAGGTAGATTATCTCCATTTTACAGATGAAGAAACTGAAACAGAAATTAAGTGACTTAATCTAGATCATATAGCTAATAAACATCAGAGGCTGGGTTTGAATTCATGTCTTCCTGATTCTAGGTCCAGCACTCTATTTCTTTAATTATACCAATGCCTATTATCACCTCTTATTGCTTCTAGCCTCCGCTGCTGTCCTGGGTTTAATTTAATTTTTCCCCTTTTCTTTCAAAGAGAAGGAAACATGAGAAAGATAACAATTAATGAAATTTTAGGATCATTATATTAAATTCCCTGCTGTTTTCTTATAGCAATTAATTTTAAAAAAAAGCATTGACTTAGGTTACCTCATCCATTCTTAAAATTTTACAACTAAGGAGATTCTACAACTTATCTTAAGTTATTTCAATACTTCAACAACTCAGTCATCTGAAAACCCCGCTAATGATTAACAAAAACTCTTTCATACATTTTAGCCTCATAAGTTTCTTCTACCATAGTTCTAACAAAAAGGGACCAATAGTTTCTTCCCTCACCATGTAATGACCTTACCCAAGGCCTTCTTAAGGAAAGAAGAAACCCATGCCCTCTTCCCAAAGACAACCCCAGCTTGTAAGTTTCACTGATTATAAACTCTCAGAGACAGTACTGATGCCATTTGGATATCTTTAAAGAGATTAAATTCCTTCGGTTCCTGCTTTCCATTGGTTCATGCTCTCTAGAGTCAGGATTCTTTTTTTTTCCCCCCTGTTTGGACCTTACAAGAATGTCTTTTCTTCTCCTTCCCTTTCCTAAAATGAACCAGAGTACTGCTGTTCCAAGCTCTCCTCATAGGCCCATATTTTCTCTACTGCTGATCATTCCTGTTACTTTGCTGAGCACCACCCTATCATTCTGCAGCTACTGTTCCTACAGTTAAAGAAGCAACTAAATATAATTGCATAACTCACGATAGCCCCCCCTTAAAGGAGCCCCAAATTTCACATCACCTTTCCTATTTGTTTTATTTTTTGCAACCATATTACATCATTGGCTTTATAGGCCTTTTATTAGTCTACTGGTCAATTCAATTTTTCACTGGGGAATGTTTTTTTTTACTTTCAAAATTTGTTATCTGGCAGAACCATCTGATTTAGACTAGTTTTTATCAGGCCCAGAAACTATGGAGTTTCATTTTTTTTTGTATTGATTGACGTATTTTCATTTCTTCATATCTATTTTCCAAAAAAAAATTCATGACAAATTTAACTATCAATTCATTCCAAAGTATTTTATCTCGTGGTACAACGGAAAGAGCATTGTGTTGGAGTCAGAGATTCTGACTTCAAATCCCACTCCTCAAGTTTACTCCCTGTGTGACCTAGGGTAAGTTAGCTTCCTTTAGCTTCAGTTTCCTCATCTGTAAAATCAAAGGGTTGGATTACATGACCTCTGAAGATTCCTCCAACTCTAGATGTATGAATATTCTTTGAGATTATCGGATGAACTTGCTTCCTTCCCTACCTTCTTCTCCCTCCTAATCACCTTTTCTTAATTGAAAGTATTTGTGCCTAACTTGTTTTCTCTCCCATACCAAGCAACAATAGTCCTTTCCTTTAAACCTTCTCTTTTTTCTAACTGTATTTACCATATTCAAGTATCTTTTTAACCCCCTCAGCTATTGAGAAAGAGATATAGAAAAGTGTTGTGCCACAGAAAAATAGTCAAAACTACTTTCAAGAATATTATTCAGCTTGTTTCATTTCTTTTAACTATCAACTCCAAGTTTCAGTTCAACAAAAGTTACCGGTTTCTAGAATTATGTGATTTCCTACTCATGAAACTAAGAATTTGACAGTCAAACAAACTAAAAGGCAAACTTTAGAGGCAGCCTCATCCAGTACAGAGAGTGCTTGACCTAAAATTAGGAAGACCTGGCTTTAAAAACTACCTGAGACAGTGAGCCCTGGTCAAGTCATTTAACCAGTTTCCTCAGCTGTAAATTGGGTATACCAGCACCTGTAACATTCAGTGGGTGTGAGGCTGAAATCACAAAGCATATAAAGTACTTTGCAAGGTTCAAAGAACTAGCTATACAAATCAGTTATTACCAGGAAATACCAATTTTAAATATGTGAAGATCTTTTACTGTAAAAAGTGAATTGGCAAATTGGGGATCTTTTAAAAGTAACTCCCTAATAAAAGATAAAAAATGTCTAACTCTTTAAAAAGCAATTTGAAGGAGTTATTTTTTAATATATTAACTCAGACTCATAATCCAAGTTCAAAGGGATTCTAAATTTTCCAGATAAAAACCTCAACCTTCTGTTTCCATCTGCCTCTGTTGACTTGGGAGAGAAAATTCTTGAAGTTTCTTGTAAAGTTAGACATTTAGTGAAGTCTATAGTAAATAAATGACTAAATCACCCAAGAGAAATTAACCATTACCTCAGGTTTGGATTTGGGTTTCTTGTTTAAGCCCTAAAATTGACATTTCAAATCAGAAATTCTGGGGAAATAGTAATATTTGTAATAGATATGACAGGCCCTAGGTATCATACAACAAAAAAATTTCAAAACAAACTGTAAACTGCCCTTATTATTTTTTGTAATTCCTTGCACTTCTAGCAAAAGTTGTTTCCTAACCATAACATTTTAATTTAAAACTTCAATTACAAACAGTAATCTTACTTTCTAGATTAAAAGCATATTGCTACTGCTCTACAGCAGTCTGTTGCTATATGTCCCAAGGTTTTTTTTTTTAAATATATCCAGATGTTAAATACTTTAGAAATTCATCAAAATAAATTTCAGAACAATACAAAGTAATGAACATGTAATCATAAATTACCATCTATAAATTGCACTGCCACAAATGAAATGCCAAAGAATTTTCCCCTTTCAGAAACCAAAGACCTGTAAACATCAGAATGGAAGAAAAGAAATTGTTTCAGTAACCAAAAATCTTAAGTATCTAGAGATCACCACATTCTTGATTATGCCAAGAAACCCAAAGCTACTTACAAGATCAATTTTAAAGGAAATTATAGGAAATCACAGCTTGACAACTCTAATATCCAGTTGCCTACTTGACATTCAAGATGATCCCTGAATTACAAGCAAGCCACATATTGCAACAACAGAAAACAGGTATTGATTAGAATGGTCATCAGTTTATTTAAAAGTACAGAAAATTAACCGGTCAGTTCAGATACCTACCAGCACTGATTGGATTTCTATCACTGTTATCACTTCAACTAAGCAGCAATGACTCATAATCCCTGCCACCAGAACATAAGCAGCAGCATGCAAAAAGGGACAGGAGAAAGAAACAAACCACAGCTCAAAACTGGACCATGAATAATGTATAGCATGGTCTTGTTTGAATCCACTTAGTTCAGGAGAGAGAAAAGAGAAGTAGCTCATTAGGGCATTTCCTGAACCCTGGTTGGAATTTCAGTTAAGGGAGAAGAAATGACAAAGCACTTTTAAGGAGGAGGGGGACTTCCTATCTTTGTCTCAAGTGTGTTGGGGAGTGGAGAAACAGTGGCCCAATGAACCCACCTAGATAGTGCTGGTGAGGCCCCAGAATGAGCTTGCTGTGATCCCAGGATTGCCCCATCGTTACTGCTTTTGCACAGAAAACACATTCTTGTTATCAAATTGGACTACGGTCCTGCACTTTGTAACAGCTCGGGGTCTTTCCCTTCTGCATTGCTCTCACCTGCCTGTGCTTTTCAGGTTGTATTTCTACTAAAATGAATAGATATTGAGCTTTTGCTTCCTTTCTGGCATAAAGTTTCCCCTATCTTACCTCTTTATTTCTTAGACCTCATTTTGCTTTCAAAGTTCCTCGACGATCACATAATAAATCATATTATATCACCTTGCCCAATTATATTTTCACCTTACCAATGGGATTGAGATAAGTGACCCCTTATAGCAGCAATTCTCAAACCTTTTTTTTAATGGCGGTTGGGGGGTGCCGTGGACTTCCTTGGCAAATCTGGTGAAGTATATGGATCCCTTCTCAGAATAATATGTTAAATGCACAATATAAAATACATAGGATTACAAAGAAAAGCAATTATACTGAAATATAGTTATCAAAATATTAAAACACAAGTTCACAGACCTCGGCTTAGGAGTCTATATCCCATAGAACATAAGTTCCATGAGGACAATTTCATTTGTCTTTCTGTCCCCTAGTACTTGGCAGATGGTAGACATGCTTAATAAAATGGTTGACTGATTAACATAGATTCAGCATCATGGATTTTGAGCTGGAAGGGACCACAGAGGTCATGGAGACCAACCCTTTCATTTACAGATTGAAAAACCTGGGGTCCAGAGGAGCTAAAGGATTTGCAGTGTCACACAACATAGCTAAGAAATGTTTGAGGCAGGTTTTGCCAGGTCTTCCCTATTGCAAATCCAGGAACCTCCATTCTATTCCAAGATGAATGCAAGTATAATGAAAACTTCTTCAGGGTAGAGACTGTTCAATTTCTTGTTTACTTGTCTTGGATCCACAAGGCTTGGTATACAGTTGGCACTTAAATGTTTGTTGAATTGAATGCAATGAAATTAAGAGGTCTCTGGATTTCATTATCCCCTTCTCATCCCTGTTTAATCCTTGTTTTTCAGGGGGCACACAGATGGGATTTTATACCTTCTAGTATTATCTTTATAGATCCACCTTCCCAAGAGGGCACACTTAATAGTCATCACACATCCCTCAGGAGTTCAAAATCTGGAGCTCACTTCTGCTCACCAACCACAATTTGTGCTATAAGAATTAGCAGGGCACTAGAGAATAGTGGCTTCATCTGCTTTTCTCTGTTTAACCTACATTTCTGATTCCTGAAGCAACACTTTCATGTTAATGACTGAAGTTTCATTTTCATTTCTAAAGGTTCTGTTCATATTACTAAAATTGTTGTGTTTAAAAAAAAAAAGAAGTGCAGTCAAGTTGACATTTATGTTTGACAAGAGAGTGATTAGAATAACTGGAAATATCTCACCAAAATACTTAACTTCCTAGTCTCTGAAAAAGATCTCCCTAACAGTCAAATGAGAAGAAAAGTCTACCAGAATAGCTAAGTTCCCTAATCATCTTACATTTCAGATGACATTATTAGCCTCACTAAAAATCCTAAAGGAATGATGAGATTTTAATGAAGGTAAAAATTGTTGATTAGAGTGAATATTTAGGGAATAAAAAACTTTGACTACATTAAACCTAGCACTTGAAAAAGGAAAAATAAAATAATTAGAAATACAATTCATTTTAGTTTAGCCTAAAAACAAAATAAAAAAAGATAAGAAAGGAAGTTAAAATTCAATTACAGTTTCACAACTCTGAATTTGCTCCTTCTCAAAACTCTTGTAGCTTTGATCCAAACACAGTATTCTGTTTTGCTTTTTCTGTGTTCTACCTTGAAATACCTCCTTTTCCACCAAGTTTGTTATCTTTCCCTTATCTTGTTACTTCCCCCTAATCACTTCCATGATGGAGACCCAATAAATTCTGCTTAACCCAAAATAAAGAGACCCAATTCTTCCATTTTACAGTTGAGGAAACAGGGCCTAGTAAGACCAAGGTCTTCCAGGAAATAAACAAATTGGTTCCTACATCAGTTTGGAACTAGTTGCTCTGCCTACCAGTTCCACCACTGAGGCTACTAAAATGGTTCTGCAGGTAGATAAAGGACCTACCAGGTTTTCTGGCCTAATATGAGTTTATGGACTCCCACTCCCAGGTATACTCCACAGCTTGGAACAAAGTGGCCTTTGCAGTACTTTACTTGGTTGGACAAGTTTCTTACTTACTCCCTACCTCATGAAGAAATAGGCATGTATTGGACTATTAGGATCATTTCTTCCAGGAACTCAAGAAAAAATGTGAAACCACCCCTTTGTAGAACACCCTTTGTAGAAGCCTCTTTCAGGCCCCTAAGTCAAACTTTGTCTTGTAATACATCTGGTTGATCATTTTTTGAAGGCTTAGTCATGTTTATTTGTGATGAAGTAGGCCACAGATGAGTTCCTAGCAAACTAACCTGACTCATTTTTAGAAACTAAAATAATAGAGGTTAACTGGGGCTTTGTTGCAGAGCAACAACTTGCCATGGGAAAATGAGGGGCCCGGGGGTATACTTCCCCTTTCCAGGGCACTGACATTTGGTGAGGACAGTTTCCTTCCTGCAGTCCAATCTCTTTCCTCCCAAGGATCTCGCTGTCATCACATCCCTCTCCTGTGGCCTCTTTTTCCCTATAGATCTTGCCCTGGGGACTCATACTCTACAGCTCACCCAAGCTCAATGGCGATAGTGATACAAAGCATCTTGGTGGTGTCTCCGAATCTCTTTCTCCTTACGTCTAACTTAACTCAACTGAATCTTCCCCAGTACTAGAATTCCCAGTTAGGTTCTACTCATCTATCAGCGTGACTACAAAGATTCCCTTTTGCTGTGCTGGTAAATGCTTCACTGTTCCCTCCATTTCTCCTCCAATCTAAGTACTATTACCATAACAGCTGACATGGGTGAGCTTGAGCAGCTCAGGATATACTGCATCTGGTTAACTCCAGAGCAGGGCCATACTGAGCCTAACTCATTCTATGGGTAAGAAGACCATACCATTCCAGCCATTTGCCAAGTTGGAGAAATGTCAATACGAAAAGAACCCCCAGCCCACCAAACCACACAGAGCAACCCATCCCTACAGCCCACCTTACAACTCACATGCTCATACCTCTCAACATTGAACTGTACTCAACACCTAGCATCGTGGGTTCCACAATATTCAGTGGACTCCTCAAGACCTCTTTGAACTTTATGAACTTAGCCATCCTTTAGTGAGATTGAGTGTCTATAGAACACACTGCCTCTCCCATGGTACTCAAAATGATCAGTGGACTTCAGTTCAGATTGTGTAATTCAGGAAAATATGGCCATGTGAGTCTAGTTGGAGAAGCATTATGAAATATTTCTTCCTATCAGTTCTTTGGATCTAGTGGATGATTTTATACATGATTTTATATAACATATAATTTTATATGTTCTGGTCCTACCACTTCCATGGAAACTTTCCTTGAAAACTCAGTCACAAAATGATCTCTCCTTCCTCTGAATTCATGGGGCACTTATTGTCTTCACTCTTCCCTTAGTACCCATGATATACATCCTGTTTTGTGTTTGGTTCCACAGAAATGCTGAGGCAGCAGAATAAGGAGGGTCCATGGTCAAGTCAATGAAACCATGAAAAAAAAGGTTGTCTTGGACAGGAAAGTCATGAAACGAATCCCCAAGTGGCCTCCTCCTACAGTCATCTAATAATATTTGACGTGAACTTCCTAGCTTTGGGATCACTTCTAGTTCTCAGCAACCCCACTGTAGTTATACTTCTGCAAGGTACTTTTCACATGCAGACAGGTTTCTGGCCCAGTACAAATTAGTCATGCATCTCTACTCTCAGGGAAACACCACTATTTAAGCTAAAGTGACTTACTGTATCACTCCCAAGAGTATAGGCTGCCTACTAAGTTACCTCTTACCTAATGGGTAATAGCATCCTCTTGGAAAATATAGATAGGAGTTCTTAGAGGATCTCAAGGAGTCTGTTGACTCCCCTCATTCTCTCAGAAACTGCCAAATTTTGAATTAGTCAGCTTGAGCAAGGATAAGAGGAACTATATTGTAGCTCCTCTTCAGAGTATAAGTCAAGACTTCTGATGGAAAACTCCTGGCCTGGTGGATCAATTTCTGGAGGGTTTGGCTGTCCCTGTCCACAATGAATTAGCTTAAATGAAGCCACTGGAGCTCAAGATCTTCCTTACTGATGGAACTGTGATTTATCTTGAAGCTGTCTTCATCTACTTCTGGGACCCTAGCCAGCATGCCAAATTGGTTCAGGCTGTCCTTAAGGACCATGCCATTCCAGCCATTTGCCAAGTTGAAGAAATGTCAATATGAAAAGAAAGAGATATATATAATAAACTACTAGGGAGTCCATGTGGATCCATATAAGGTGGAGAGGATACCACAGTGGGGACCCCTACAAGGGTCCTATAGCAATTCCTCAATTTTGTGAGGTCCTACTGTTACTACATCCCTGAGGTCTTTTTTTTTTTTCTGTAAGCACCCCCAATACTTTCTGCTCAATACTCCTAAACTTCCCATGGGACATCTGATGGTGAACAGCACACTCACTAATATTAAGAACTTTACCTTTACCGCCATCTTGAACTATCCACAACCTCAAACAATTCCTTCTAGACGTTGATGTCAACAGTGACATAGAAGGGTCTGTTCTCCACAGCTTTACAAATATTTCTCCAGCAAGTTGATCTTAGTGGAAAAGAACTATATTATATGAAAGAAGGAGCTGCTC